TATTATAAATCCCAAACTCAGAGATGTCACAGTCTACTTTCTGATATTTCACACATTCTAGTAGCAACTCTAGTTGCTCCAGTGTTGAGCTCCTACATGCTAAGAATATTGATCCATAATGGGAAAGCCAGTCCAATATTCAAATGAGGAAAATATAAGCTATTTACACAAAGTCTTTACAGAGTAAGTGCCAAGACCTAAATTATAAACCATCCATATGGGTTAAACAATGTCTCCAGTAAGAATAATGACATACAAACTTATGCCAGTGTTAATGTGTATCTATGCACATTATCTTGTTAATTGCTTGGCAGTTGATCAAAACACAATTGCTGAAATCAACAACCCTTTATTTTTTGGTGCAATTACCGAATTTACCATATGTAGGAGACTAGCCAAGGGGAATCTACGGAGATGCTAATAAAATAGAAAGGAAACTATGTCCTGGGGAGGGAAGTTTGAAATGATCATTTTATTAAAACAGAACTATGGATCTGTTTACCACATTGGGCAATGAATCAGGGGACCACACTACTAACATGTATAATGTGGAAATTGGAGAAATAACTATAAGAAACTGAGTTAAAAAGACCACTGGGTACCAAAGACTCCTACTACTTTACAAGACAAGTTGGTCTGTTCAAGTTTCCAGGAAAATGGACCTATCTCAGCTAGCAGGATGGCCTGCCTGCCAGTAACTTTCCAAGGTATATGGTGAATGCCTTCCCCTACCACATTCCACACGTGTGGGTTGATCTGAAGGAAGAGAGGGCATATGACCTGACAAAACTGCCTGTATCAGTTAAATATCTTTCCTGTCTGCAGGCTGATTCAGTGTCTGTTAAGCCTCCAATAGTGATAAAGGAAATGAGCTTCCAGGACAAACAGATTTAACTCTCATCAAATTGACTCTCTTCTACAGAAAATGTGTGTTTGCTTCACTGCTTTCCTATGGGAATTTTAAAAAGGCAACATCCTGACTCATAATTCTCTCTTACACAGGGGTAAATAATAAAAAAATATTCCCAAAGTTTTATTTATTCATTTTTATTTTGGCCCATTATGACCTAGGAAAGTTAGTTTAGCGATCTTTAAACTCTTTAGTTATTGACCTCTTTTCTTCTGACTTCTGATAGAAACCAGATAATACTTGGGCCACTTTATTTTCAATATCCTGAAAAGAATAGCCCTAATAAACAAAACATGCTTGCTTTTCCAGTTGTAGTGCTACATGCTCAGTAGGCATTTGGGCTCTATTCATACTAGTGATTATTATAATAATATAAATCTTGTGGTTGCTACCTAATAGGACTTTAAACTTTTTGCTTTGTTTTATTTACTATGCTGTACAAATAATCAAGCCAGTGACAAATATTTAAAGGATTTTTGTTAGGTTGGTTGGTTTGTGTGGTTTCTGTTTTTGTTATAATGGCAATCCACAAAGAATGTGCATGGATCCATGTAAAATATGGCTTGGATGAGAGTCACATATGGTTTAACTACTTTCAAAGGCTGACCTGGCTGCCACTGCAGTTGAGCACAACATCTGACAACAATCAGAACACTGAGGATAAGCTGTTTACCTGGATATGAGTTCCTTGTATCATGGCCAAGGCTACGCTCTCTCTGCCTTGGAATAACTTCTTATGGAAATGAATTCCTTCATTTGCCCACAGGAATGTCAGTATAAGTATCCATGGAATAACTGAATGCCAAGCTCAATGTTAGTTATCTCAAGACATGTTTCTGATGGTGGGGTTCTTTGAAACAAAGGATAATTGGGAAATGGTATTATACCTATGAGATTCACATTCTTAATCATGTATGCTTAATCCAGTTGAGCATTGAGAAATGTCAAATTACTTATGAAAGACATAGTAATCCCACTGCCTGGGAGAATGCATCTTCTAAGGCTGGTTTTCTTTATTTTAAGACTCAATATATCTTTGGACTAGATATAAGTACAGGTAACATTTCTTAGGAAATAGGAGTAGAACTGGTATAAAGGGATGTTTGCAAATTTGTTTGTTTTTCTACCCTGAATTTATGTGCCTACCTTATTTAGACTTTATTTAGAAGGATTAGTTTTTTGAAAGAATAAACCTGCTTGAAAACAAAAACAGCCCTAATCCCACTGAACTGTTAATATAATATTAACAGTTCTTTTGTTTTGTTATTAATTGCTATCAATATTGCTATTAGAGCATTATAGAACCCAAATGCCTAGTACGCATGTTGCACTACAACTGGAAAAGCAAGCAGCTTTTTTTTTTAAATTAGGTCTATTCTTTTCAGAATATTAAATATCAGTTATTAATTGTAATCACTATGCTGTTCAATATTTTGATGTTACTAGGAGGGTACATATCAAATACGTTCATCACGGTAAAAGTCAATTGTTTGAGGTGATGAATGAGTAGATTGACATGATTTGGCCATTTCACATTGTTCAGAAATCGTTATATTACTTTGTTCTCCAAAATAGGTACAGTATAATTTTTCAAGAAATAAAAATATGATAATAAAATAAAATAAATACTTTTAGCATTCAAGAGACAATGGAAAACAAATACAGAATTTGGCAAGTGACAAATATTTTTTTCTAATAGTTTCTGAGATTTTTCATTACATCATGTTTTGTTTTATCATCTTAGAGAGTACTACAGTCTGTTCCAGAGGAATTTTAATTTTTCCTTTGCTCCTTCTGCCCTTCCAGTGAATTAGCCTCTTAGCCTCTGTGTTAAGTCTCTTTCTTTCAAATACTTAACAGTGTTTCTGTTTTCTTAAATCAAGGATCCACATACACCAATTTCTGACTATTCAACGAATAAGCATTCATTCAGTAATCAGATACATATTATTAAGCATAATCACACACATTTAATTAAATATATTCAGGTATGACCTTATGAATAAAGGTGAAAGTTCCAAAATATTTCATAATCAGTACAATATATTTTTTTTCAAGTTAACTTGTGAAATATGCCAGAGAATAGGAAACTAGTCCTAAAATCACAAGCTTACCGCTTAAAGTGTGGTGCTCCTGGAAAACAACAACAATAACAAAACAACAGCAACAACAACCACAAATCTTTCCTATAATTCTTGGGTAAAAATTGTTACCATGCACTGATATACTTTGTCTTTCTTAATTATACACTTCCAAATAAGACATAATTTAAGATTTACCTTAATTACTTTTTGATTTATATTTATTATTGGGCCATCTATTTCTTAACACCATATCTTTTGTCTTTAATCATTGCATACAAATAAATATACAAAATGAACAAGATTTATGGCATTTATCCTGCAAGAATGTGTGAGACATTCATTATTGACAAACTAACATTTGGAATAAAAAGACAAATTAGACAGTGTCTATCTTAAATAGGAGATTCCAACTAGGGTTCAGGGAATAAAAATTTAGCAGTACATAAGAGTATATAATATGTCCAACCAATGTTAAGATAATAAATACTGCATGATCTCCTTCATTTGTGAAGTCAGAAATTGTTGATCTCCAGAGATAGGGAATGGAGTGGAGTGGGTGGTTGATGGCATGGAGTTGATAAATGTTGGTCAAAGGAAACAAAATTTCAGTCCAGAGAAATAAGTTCCAGAGATCTATTGTATAATGGTGGCTCTAGGTAATGATACATTGTACTATTGAAATGTTCTAGGAGAGTGAATGTTAATGTTTTCACAACACAAGTTAAAACTAACTGATGTAATGTATATGTCAATTTACTGGATGTGGTCATTTCACAATGCAGATATATTTCAAAAAATCATATTGTATGTGGTAAATATGCACGATTTTATCTGTCAAGGTACAAAGGAAAGAAAGGAAATAAAAGAAGTATTAACAGCTGCTTTCTATTTTCATAAGAAACAAAACAAAACAAAACCTTAGGTAGAACTACTACACACACAAAAATATTTAACAAATGCTAGATCTCCAAATACAAGTGATGGACAATGTTTCTGAGGAATGAATTGACTGAAAAATGGATATATATGCAATTTAATATCTGTACAATATAATGGATTCCATTTGTGGTATATAAGAATTGTTAAATTTAAAATAACAATAGACTAAATCATTTAAATATAATCTATTTTGACTATTTCAACATTTAAGTAATTTCTCATTTTGTTTTATTATGACAATCTCTGTAAAGAGATTGGACTCAATATTAGTACAGAAACTCTGGGGTCTGATACTAATTAAATGCATTGACTATACCAATCCAAACAGAAAAATATTATCAACATTTTTTATTGAAAATATATTTCACACAAATATACCTTTGTGTATTTATATATTCTCCAATTTAATATCCATTTCCAGGGATTGCTACAGTATTTATTTTTCAAAATACCTTCATAAACAGTCAATGATTTTTCTGTGGAGTAAATATAAACAATTACTTAATTAATCATTTAGTATGCACGATTATTTAATCCAAAATACTTCATAATTTTATAATGGAGAAATTTTAATCACTGGTTACAATAAAGATTTGATAATTATTTTAACCATTAAAATTATGAAAAAAAATCATCATAGGATTACTATTAAATATTTTTACTGTCTACTATTATTTGTAATCTATGAAAAATGCAAGGTTATTAGGGGTAAAACACGTATCCATAGATGGCAGCAAGCTATCATTTAGGATATCTATTGAGAATATATGTAAAATAGAAAAATAATAACTTCTATGATTAAAATATTTTAGTATCACTCTGTGATTATTAGTCTTGATTGTCAATCAGACTGGACTGAGGGATGTGTACTAAATTTGCAGTCCCTGTATTTGGGCGTCCTTCAGGGTGTTTCCAGAGAAGTCTGACACATAGGTCACCGCACTGTGAAGGGCTGACCATCCTGATTGGGGGTGGCACGGTCCAATAGACTGAGCACCCGGATGGATTCAAAGGGGCATGCGCGCTGCCCCAGAGCATGCGCACTAATGTGAAGGCGCCATAGTTCCTAGCACCTTAGCACCAACAGCAGGTTCACACAGGGTCTTCTTGATTGGGGGTGGGGGGTTGCTCTGTTTCTGTTTCTGTTTTGTTTTTGTTGACCTCAGCTGTGGAGGTCAGACTCCAGATTCTGCAGCCTTTGAATGAGGGCTTGGAACAGGGAGTGTACAGGGGGCTCCCTCTGCTCACATCCTGAAGTGGGAGGATAATTGGTTCCTGTTGTTAAGAGGCTTCCAGCTTCTTGAACTGAGTGGCTACTGGTTTCCCCTGCCCTCCAGCCTACAGTCAGTCGTCGTGGAGCTACCCATCCTCTGATCCTGTAAGCCAACTAATAATCTCCGTGTTATAATTATACGTATTTTGTATTGATCTCATTCCTCTGGTGAATCCTAATTAATACATCATCTAATCTGGCTGATATTCCTTTTTTTTTTTTATTCTTTTAAAAAATTATTTATTTATTTTTTACATACATGACAGTAGTGGATTGCATTACTAATATTCTAATTCATATGTTAAAAAGGATATAAGATTACAGTTAGAGAAGAGAAAAAAAATTCTGGTGTTCCATTGCCCAGTAGGATGACAAAAGATGATCAGGTGCTCTGTATTTCTAGAAAGGTAAAAGAAATGATAACATTTTCACCAAAAAGAAATGGCAAATATTTGAGGTGACAGATGTGTTTGTCTGGATTGTAACAATATATAATGTATTCAAAACATCACATGGTCTTTCAAATTATGATGTTTGAAATTATATTAAATTGATTTAATTTAAAAAAGGAAAAAAAAAGGACAAAAATTCATTCCCGATTTCATCTTTTTGCTATGTAAGTTCAGTTTCTTCAGTTCTCCTTCTATCCCAGGAACCACTTTTGAAAGATATTGTATTGCAGCAATACAATCCTTATGAGCTAGGATCTTTATTCTAAATGTGAATGTACTCATAATTGAAATGGCAAAAAAAAAATGAAGTTACAGAGGCAAAAAGCACAGGAAAAACTCTGATTGCTGAATGATTCATAGTATCTGCTTTAAGAGAACAGCACTTTACCTCATAGAAACCTTTTAAAAGTAGATTGAAGATGACATCTTTAGTTTAGTTAAGGGTAGAAAGACTAGAATTGATGAACTTTGAGGACATTTCTTTCCTTCCTTCCCTCCTCTTTTTGCAGTAATGGGAATTCAACCCATGACCTCAAACATGCTAGACAAGTGCTCTATCACTGAGCTAAACCCCCAGATCCCCAAACATTTTTAAATGCTACTTCTATAAAAACAACTTGACTCTAAAGTTGAACATTTATGGAAATAAATATGCAATGACAAAACCAAAATGGAATCACAGGTATTTTTCTCAATTACATGCCCTAACTCTTAAAAGTACAAAATATTTTCTTGCTAATAAAAAGTTCTAAATGTGTAATTGTGTGTGGGTATACTGGTGATTTAATGCAGGGACAGTCTACCATGAGCTATATCCCCTCCCTTCTTCCCTCCCTCCCTCTCTTCCTTCCTTCCTTCTTTTGCAGGATCTTGCTAAATATCTAAGACTAGCCTTGAACTTGAAATCCTCCTGATTCAGCCTTCCAAGTCATGGGACTACAAGTGTGCCCCACTGCACACAACTAAATATGTGATTCTTTCTTGTCTTGATTTTGGACTTCTACATAAATTTTATAGATTTTATTCAAAGTTGCTTGGTAATTAACTCAAACAATAAGATTGCCTCATATATTTCTCATTTCTTCAGTTATCAAAAATGTACTTCCATTATCCTAGTAGCATTAGAAATCTCTAGAGCATTTATCAAAGAAAGATGTTGGATATTACAGGAGCTTTGTTCTTCATGAAATAGTAATATAATAACTTTGAAATACTTAATATACTATCTATAAATAGTTAAGACCTAAAGGGAATGCAGTGTATTTAGTGGAATAAAGTTCATCTTAGAGTTAGATTAGACAGATTTTAATTCAAATGTATACTCTCTAACTATGCAAAGATTTAGTTTCATTGTTCATAAAGTAAGCATATCATTAACTATGGTAAATTTTTGTAATAGGTATTAAATTAAAATGGAGTTAAAGGTACTTAGTTAATACAGGTCCTCATTAAAAATATTTGCTGCCATCACAGTGCTAGTGATAATAAAAAATAATTATTTTGATCTATTTTTTTTCTATAATTAAAAATTATAACATGGCAAGATTTTGTTACTGAACTCTAGTTTGCTTCCAGTCTTGGTGTAGCTGTATTCAGCATAGTGGAAATCATGTCCAAAGTAGCCTTTATATCACTGCAAGAAATACATGGAGTGTTCTTCATTGACACAGTTTATTAAAATAAGTTATTACCTTGCCATTCACACCACCAGTCTGACCTGTTTTCCTTGTCTTGTCTCTTGCCGAACTAGCAATTGTTTCTTCATCATACATTTAAAAGGAACGTTGCAAAATCTTCTGCTTCTGCACTTCTTAACAGTACAGAATAGAGCTAACCATTCCTATCTTCTTTTAAACATGTTTACTATATTTAATAATATAGTGTCCACTGTCGTTAACATATTTTTGAATGTTATATGGTATTAACTATAAACACAATATTGTACTGTAGATCTCTAGAATTTGTTATCTTGCATAACTGACAATATACCCATTGATTAGTAAATCTCTAATCTTTCCTTGTCCCTTCCCCTCTGGCTCCTTATAACCACCATTATACTAACTGCTTCTGTGAGTTTGACTGTATTAGATATCTCATCTAGGAGACCATGCAGTATTTATCCTTTATTATTTAAATAATTTATTTAAAATTCAAGTTTCATCCATGTTGTTGTATATGGCAAGATTTTCTTCATTTTTGTAAGGTTGGTGCATAGTAACTGTATAGACTAGTGGGTTCAATTGTAGCATATCCATAAATGCATATAACATAATTTCATCAATTTCCCTCCTCATTGTGTCCCCTTAGCCTCCTCTCCTCTTTCCCCCTCTTCACTAATAGTCTAAAAATATAGAACGCTTCACAAATATGTGTATTATTCTTCCACACACCATGGTAACCTTCTCTGCATTGTTCAAATTTTAGTATTTGAGCTGCTGAAGGAATAATTTTTTTCTTTGTTATTACTGAATAATATTTCTTTGTATGTATATGTTACTTTTCCTTCAAGTATTAATTTATCAATGCACATTTATTGTTTATGCATCTTGGAAATTGTGAATAGTGGTGCAATCGACATGAGAGTGACAATTTTTCTTTATGATCTTAACTTGGAAAATTGTACACAGTGGTGCTGCTGAATCATAAGGTAGTTCCATTTTTATTTGTTTGAGAAACCTCTATGATTTTTCTCATAGCAGCTCACTATATTATAAAATTCCACCGACAGTGTACAGTGGTTTCTGTTTTTCACATTATGATCAGTACATATTGCCTTGTATTACTGTTGTAACTATTCTAACATGTGTGAGGTAATATATCATTGTGGCCTTGATTTACATTTTCCTGATGATCCATAATGTCAAGACTCCTTTTTTTAACCTGTTGGAAAACATGGAAATGACTTTATGATATTGCTCTGGGAACAATTTCTTGGATATGACATCAAAAGTATAATCAAAGAAAAGCAAAAATAGTCAAAAGGGTGACATCAAACTATAACATTACTGAGAAGAAAACAATTAATATACTGAGAAGACCATCTGCATCATCGAAGAAACTATTTTGAAACCACAAAATTTGCAAGGGTTACTATATAAAATTTGTAAGAAATTCTTACAACTCAATAGTGAAAAAAACATAATTATCCTATTGAAATGGGATTGTTCCCTTTTATAGCATTCTCCTTGTGGCTGCTGAACACTGCACTATACTGGTACTCTTTTTACGACCTGGCTGCATCATTCAAGTTCTGTTGCAGACTTAATCTTTTAGAGTTTGAACTGTAAACTCATTTTAATTTAATTAATCATTCTAGAAATAACAAATTGTCTCACATGTAGCAAGTATTTTGTAAATAATATGTATTGAAATGATATAATTATTATTTTCAACAGCAACATATCCTTGGTTCATCTCTTCATACAGGTAGTTCTGGGAATGTTAAGCAGTAGATGCAAAACTGTTTATAAAACTGGATATGGATTTTTTAACTGCATGGATAGTGAAGGCATATGTTTTCCATGATACTTTTAAATTTTTCAATTAGGAATTGGCTCTTCAAAATGATATTTCCAAAAACATATTTCTTGAATAAGGTTTAAATTTATCCTATAATTTCTTAAGATTAGTGTGTAGCCCCTATTTCTTTTAAATGCCAGACTGCCAGGCTCCTTATTGAAGTATAGCCGCCATAATGGAATAAAAACACTTATAAATATTTTGAAATTATCTGAAATATAATTTTACATAATGGTAAGAATTAATTTGGGAAGTAAAAATTATTTGTAATTGCCTTATAAATTACAATATCATATTGAAGACATTTTGTCTTTAGTCTGTAACAGGAAGCATAGAGGTTGCTGTACATCAAAAAGTCAAACAAAATCAATATAAATTAAGTTGAAGCTTGAGAGGGCAGCTCTGTTCAAAATCAGTGTTGATTTAAAAATCAATGTAAGTTTAAACAAACATGTTGCATTTTATCAATATAACATGTATAGCAGTAGGGCAGGGTACAGAATGTCAAACAAACAAAACCTCCAATGCCTAAGGTGTGTGCACAAGTACCAGAAAAATTGTGCACCTGTGTAGGGCACCTTACCATCAATCCAAGGACTCACATGGCGTTGACCAGGAGAAAGTCTCCTTAACAAATATTCATGATAAACATATTAATTTTAAATGTCTATCAGTAAATTCAATAAAACTGTGGGGATGATGCAGATTGTGGCAGTTAAAAAGATCCCTGAAAGATCTCATAACACATGAGAAAAAAAGAAAAGAAAAGAAAAAAGAGTACCTAGGTTAGAACATCAAGACCTGCATCATTTAATGATCAGTTTAGTTTACATAAAGGAGTAAGAAAAAACTGCCTGAGAGCAAAAAAAAAAATAAGCTTTAATGGTGTTGCATTATAAAAACCATGGAGAGAGTATTTAGCTGTTGTGTTCGGGGTCATTTCTTAAGTTTTCATTGCACATAGCCCAAAGGAATACATTGGTAAAGTTGGAAATGGTTGTGATGGGCATAGATGGGCATAATATGTAGTTTCTGCATGGAATTTTGAAAATTACATAAGATGATTTTGTAAGTTTTTTTCCTTTAAAAAAACAGAGATTACACTAAATTTGGTCGTGTTTAAAGTAATTCATC